TACGCTAATTCAACGCAAATTCCTTCCCGGAGAGATATCTGTATCGCTCGCATACATCAGAGAGCGGTGACTCTCTCGCGGTAGCTGCTCCCGTGCATTCTCCGTCTCTCTCTGTTCTCGTTGTTGTCGCTGGTGCTGCTTCAGGGTGCTCCCGGACTCCCGGCTTAATCAGCAACCGCGGAGAGACGACTATATAGCCGTGACTTATATATACACGTGGTTGCGGAGAACGTTGGTTTCTGCAGGATATTTTTTTATTTTCATCTCGATTAAAATACAAGGCATATTTAAATAAAAAATATTATTTATTTTTTATTTTATTTGTACATATTTTAATATTTTGTTCTATTTAATCTCGTCTTATAAAAATTATTTCTTTTATTTAACCATCAAATATTTTTATAGTTTTGGGAAGATGGAAAAATTATTATTAAAATTGAATATATATTAAAAAATATATATATATTTTTTTTTATTTTAATCTCATCAAATGCGCCTTATATTAATCGGAAAATAAAAAATACTCTATTAAAATTATATTTGACATTGAAAAAAAAATATTTTTCCTTAGAAATTTAATTTTCATAATAATTTTCTGCGTCTCATTCTGAGCTACCAAACATTGACATTGTCAAGCGTTGCACATTGTATGCCCGGCTCTTCTACTGTAACCGTCACGGTGGATAGTCATCTCCCGCATCTCGGCTGGAATCGCGTTAGCGCCACGACGTCAGATTAATTAAGGCTTTAATTAGTGTAGAAATTAGATATACATATGTACGCCAGTCCAGTGCAATTAATATCAAAGGAAAAAGAAAAGCTTTCGAAGGCGGGTTATACCATACATGCAAAGATGGGCCACTTTTCGAGAGAAAACGATCGAGGGTTCGGCGTGCTTTCTCACGGCTCGTTTTCGAGGAAGGAAAGGATGAAGAAAGTCGCAGAAGGGTGCTACCGTATGCACACACCGCGGTATGTAGCCTCTGCACCCCGGGAGGGACGGAGGAAGCAAAGATATATCACGTTGTCGGCCGACATACCATTCTTTTGCGGGCGCCGCCGACACCGCGCGCAGCGTTCACAAATTAAGGAGCGCCAAAGTCAACGGCGCGAGCATAGGTAGGGTATGGCGCTATCGCGCTTCATAAAACTTCGTTAGCACGCCAGGTCGAGGGAAGTAGACGGGTGCGTGCCCGGACCCCGGGATATATCCCGCATAAGCGCTGATGGCCCCGCGAGACCACCGTAAAAATTCATTTCGCACCTCGTCCTGCGTGTGTATATGTATATGTTTGTGTTTGTGTGTAATTCAGCCAGGATTCTTGCATCTTCTCCGGCCAGCCGGCCAGAGTAGAGAGTATTAGATGGACCATGTCCGCGCACTTCGCGGTTAATGACTCCGCTCGCTATGCGCGGTACGTTTAATAATTGTACATAGTGACAGCGCGCGTCCCCCTTAATTATTCGTCCGTATATGCGCGCTCCGTACGTGAATTCCGTGTGCTCCACTCTTCAAATTATCCGTAACGCGCGTGCGGAGAGATAACGCGTTGGAAAATTGAGAAAAAAATTCAATTGGAAAGAGATGATGACGGCGCATTTACTTTCTTCAATTAAGGGGATCCTAAACGCAATTGAGTTTCATTCCTGTTTTATCGACACTATGCGGATTGTTTTTTACCTGAAATTAGAGCACTTCGCAATTTGTTAATATTAATACTTAAATTTGGACAGAAAAAAGATTTATCAATCTGTACAGTCTCATATATCTAGGTTGCAGAATTCTTGAATTCTTTTAATTTCAAGCAAAAACAATCCGTATAGCCAATAAATCGATTTATAGTTGAATCTAACCTCACATTTTATCGATAAAACAGGAAACTCAATTGCGTTTAGCACTTTATTCTTCCGTCTTATGTTTCGTCTGATTACGGGGGTAAGATTTAGAATTTAAATTTAGAATTATATGCGCGTTATATTTTTTTATACCCTCAAGTTGTGATAAACCTATAGTAAAAATGAACAAGACTCTAGTCAAACGCAGATAATTTTTTAACACAATATATATTATTATAAATTCATCTAATATACGGGGTATCTGACATAAGGTGTCACACCGTAAATACCATATAATACAAGTAGATTTCATTCTTTCTAGTGTTATATTTATGTATATCCAAAATAATCTGCTTATCAGTGAGACATATATATTGTATATACTGATTCTATTTAATATATACATTTATATCATAAATCCAATATATGTATAATTCCATTTAAAAGAACAACAGCGAGACCTGGGAAGCATCAATTCTTCATCCTCGTTACAAGTCGATTAGTCTCTTCACCCGCGCAATGAAACTTCAATTCGATCGATTAGTCCCGTATCCCTCCGACCTTATTAGCGTTCCATTTAAAATGAGAAAAAAAAGAGAGAGACTATCATCTGTATATGTACTTGTACTAGGGACAGACGTGCATATGTGTGTGTGCCATCTCACGCATACGTACACACACACATTCGCGCTTGGTTCCCGTCATTATACGTACGTAGCCTCGTTAGAACGAGTCCTCTTTTTTCCACCCCGGGTCCGCTAATGAGGTGGTCCGCGACTTGGTGCGGTCCACCGCCGACGTACGAGCGGGGTTGCTGACTGGCTTCAGGCTCAGGTCGGGAGGGCGGCTTATAATTCCGTCGACGCATCCCGCGCGAATCTGGAGACCGACACTATTTTTAATCTACCCGCGGGATGCGCGGGCTTGATAAAATTAAAACGCATGTCCCACTACGAAAGCTTGCTTACTCTACCATCTCTTGCTCTCTCTCTCTCCGCTGCGAAAAACGTGTATACCCTTTTAGGGCGCGCTTCCCCCGGATCAGGATTCGCCCGAGAATGTCGCGTTAATAGTCGACGTCGCGCCCGTGGTTTGGTGATTCATTCTCGCCGTTAATTTCGACCGCGCTGGACTCTAGAGTTCACGATGATGCGGTCGCAGTCGACTATATATATATTATATATACCCATACAGCACAACAAGATTGCAGCAGCATTGTGGCAACATTTCTTTGCAATATTACAACATTGCGTGAAATGTTGCAGCAATGTTGCTGCAAGGTTGCAGCAATGGTAAAATGTCCGCTTTTAGAAATATTGTTCTATAATATTGCAGCAATAATGCAATAAAATATATATGTAATATATTACTATTGGATTATTGGAAATGTGCCAAATACATGATCGGACTGAATGTTCTGTACCTAATATTTTTTGCGTGAATTTTATTTTCATAATATTTTTGAAATGTTGCTGCAACATTGTGTTTAAACTATATTGCAAATTCATGCCTATATTTCTGCAATATTGCTATGCAATGTACAATATAGCAATGTTGTTGCAATATTGCTGCAAACTTATGTGCTGTATGGGCGTGGCTGGGCGAGAGATTCTTCGCTACGAGACTCTTAAAAAGATCCTAAACGCCGACTTCTTTTACCGATAAATTATCATTTTTTTGTAAGTGAAAAATTTTAATTAAAATTTTTTTTATTTTTAACATAAAATTGATAAGTTCACGCTTTGTTTCTACACGGAGAGAATTTTCTCTTAGAATTTACCCTGAAAATCGTGCTAATCTTGGGATAACATGGCGTTGAAGAATTTTATAAGAGTTTCTCTGATCAATACCCCAATAAAAAATATTAATATGTACATAGTAAATCTTACTATGTAAAATTAATCGAGTATATTTTATATCTTATTGTGGTAGATATTCATATTTTTATTGTGGTAAATATTAATTTATCAGAGATACTTTTATAAAATTCTTCCATTACTATATTGTCCCACAATTACCATGATTTTCAGGGTAAATAAAAAAACAATTTCTTTGTGTATATGTACTTTTATCGTGGAAAAGCATTTATTATTCTATTTAACCAATAAAAAGAAAAGGGTACGCAAAAATAAACCCTTAATGTTATTAATTATATCAGGGTTATAGGTTTTTTAAATGCAGGAAAGTAGATATAAAGATAATGTAAAAAAGAAAATTTATTAATATCATAAAATATATGTAAAGGATATTTAAACAATCTATAACAATTAATTTATAAAACTATATAAGGTGTAACTGAAAGTAACATATATGGAGCATATCATCAAATTTTCTGGATAATTTAGAGCTGCTTTTTCTTCAATAAAAATGTCGAAGCACCAATAATTTTTAAGTTATAAAGGCTTTTCGCTTATCGCAAACTAAACTTTATGGAGTAAAAATATTCACATATTCTTCAATTAATTCATTGCAGGTAGAGTTTACTTTAATAGAATTTTCATTTAAAGTTTAGTTAAAATAAAGCTACATGACATGAGCAAAAATTGGAAACATGCAAAAAATGATGACCTCCCTCCATATAAGTTTTTTTTTCAGTTACACCCTGTGTAATATTTATTTTAGAAAGAAAACACGAGTGTCACCATCTTCCGCTGGGAGCTAAAAATCTCTCTCGCTCTTGTTCCTCGAATTTTTTCGTGTATATCTTGGTGCTATCTAAGTGGAAGTAAGATTCAAGCTCGCTCTATTTGCTCTTTCCGGCTTTTTCCGGAGTCGCATTTACTTCTCTGCGTCCCGACTGTAATCGATTGCCAGTCCGGGAGAGGAGTCTCTTTTTTCCTCTTTTTCTACATCCCGACGATGTAGGTTTCCATTCATTCAGCTGGTCCCGGTTGACAGTCCCGGGCCGCCGCCGTCGCTTAATTCGCGAATATTTCACGGACGCGTCATCCCGAAAATACCAGCTACAGCTGCTCGCGTCGTGTCTTCCCTCGCGATCCGGGTCACCCGAAAAATCCGCACAACCGCGGCCCCGTAAATCTCGGCGCTGATACATTTTCGCTCATCGCCTTCCCATATCTCGCCAAAATCCATCCCGAACGCGATTTATTTAAACGACGAAAGCGAATTGTCTCACCCACTCGTCTTCTTCGCGCTTGTTACAGACGGCTCTACACTGGGGCGCCAAACACGGCGAGGAGAACATTATCAAATTAATAGCGGGCACCTACAAGGACTACAACAAGAGTGTCAACGAGACCACGGTGAGTCCGCTTCCTCTGGGATTGCTGAATAAAATATCGCTTTTTTTTCTGAACGCCATAAAATTCAATCGGAATTTTTATCTGTAGCTACACTGAACAAAAATTTTGTTAACTTGACTAAACCTTTCAAACTAAATTGCTATTTTGTTAATTGAACATATATTAGTATTTAAGTCGAATATACGTTTTATTAGATTTAATATGTTAGTTTTTGGCGATCCATCATAACGATAATATGCGGTTACTTTCTTTCAAAAGTTCTTTCAAAGTTATTTCAAATGTTTTTAAAAAATTCCGATAATCATATTGTTTAATAATCATGACAACAGTGTCAACTAACTGCGCTTTTATCAAGGAAGTATGTAAAAAATTTTTTAATTCTTGCGTTTAACATCAAAAATGTTTATTAATTTTAATTAATTGTACCATTCTAGTTTTTCTAGTTTTAACGTTGTGGAAATAAAATAAAAATTTTCTTGGCTAGTTTGGATCGAATTAAATATATCGTTCCTATTTTAATATGTTACATTTAATTTAAATATTTATATATATTTAATTAACAAAATAATATTTAGTTGAAAGGTTTTGCCAAGTTAATACATTTTTTTTAGTGCAGAATTTATTTTAGAACAAGTTACATTGTTATATATATTATATATACTGTATGCAGGGTGTATCTAAATAAGTGCAAAAAATTTTTAATTATTCTTTATCGAAAATTAAATGGGGTTTCTTATATAAACTCTTATATTCCCCCTTGAGGAGTTACACTTTTCTAAATGAGGAAAAATTAAGTTTGTATTTTTTTTAAATTATTAATGAATATCCTTTTTATTAGTGAAAAATATTCACCAAGTTTCATATGTTTTTAATTTGACTGAAATTTGAGAAAAAAAATAATTTAGAAAAGTGTAACTTCTCAGGAAGGGATTTAAAAATATGGTTACATAAGAAACTCTCTTTAATTTTCGACAAAAGAGAGGTAAAAATTAAGTTTTTATTTTTTGTAATTATTAATGAATATCCTTTTTATTAGTGAAAAATATTCACTAAGTTTTATATTTTTAATTTGACCGAAATTTGAGAAAAAAAGTAATTTAGAAAAGTGTAACTCCTCAGAGAGGGATATAAGAATATATATTTACATAAGAAACTTGCCTTAATTTTCGACAAAGAATCTTCTCCTAAAATTTTTCGCATTTATTTAGATACATCCTGTATAATATTACATAATTGTATATTTACTTACTTTTTTTTATATTTTTCTGTTTCTGATCATTGGATGCCTCTATTGAACGTTGATGCAGAATGGGGTGAGTTTTCTTCTTTCAACTATATCAACTTGTATTTTTTTATAATGATAAAATCGTGATCGATGAAAGCAATAATTTATCAATTTACAATTCATTTATATCGAGACAAAACATTCGTTTCGCGAACGAAATTTATTTCCTGCATCGATGGCGCTTGTTCATCGAGATGAGGCGCATCAAATGCATTCGGATAACATCGAGATATCCTTGGCGATCCTTGCCACGATCGCGTATAATTTGCCGGACGTACGGAGAGCGGAATCGGTTTAGGGAACGAGTCGCGTTGTAAGAGGCAGAACAAACGGAGTCTATATGAGAAGGAAGGAAAGAAGAGACAGAGAGGGGAAGAAGCGCACAGAAAAGTCCGCAGATAGGATCAGACGTGTGTGGTCCCGCCGCTTTGCTCTTTATAAGACTTATATAAGCCAGGGAGTGCTTCACGACGAGAGACGGCGAGTACTTATAGAGAAAGAGGAGGAGAGAAAGAGCGGAATCCCCCTCGTTAGTGGCTCGCGACAAACTTTGTTGTGGTGCTCTCGTCTGTTCTTACGTTATTACACAAAGACAGCAAAATTAGCTTTTTTTTAATGATTTTTTAAATAACTTTTGTAATGATTTTTTAATGATTTTTGAATGATTTTGTACATGATTTTTTAATAATTTTTATAATGATTTTTTTAATGATTTTTTACATGATTTTTTAATGATTTTTTAAATGATTTTTTTAATGACTTTTTAAATAATTTTTTAAAAATTGTGCGATCAATAAAAGTAGCAATTTTATAATTTATGTATCTTTCAATTCATATAATTTGCTTCAAGCGAATTTAATTTGTTTATTGAGATGAAATGCAAAAATTCGAATTTAAAATAATATTATTTTTATTTTCTGTTGACATAGCCACACATTTTGACCAACTAATCTTTATATACTTATAATTCTAAATTGAAGTAAAATATTATAATTTTACGCGAAAGAAGAGAACCCTTCTGTCAATGCATAATTTTTCTCTTTTCGTCAGTGTACCAGGGTGGTTTTGACACTGTGAACATTTTTTTATATCAGCTGCTGGGCATCATTCTTCCTCATTAATTATAATTTTAGGGGATTCCAGAGTACAAAGGCTCTTTTTTGTACTTTGTTTCGGGTGGGGAAAAGTTCGGACACATTTTTAAAGCTGCTTTGGGTTACCCGTTTATTGACAGAGGTGCAAACTTTTCTATCGATCCGCCACACATTTGATTGAAATTGAATTCGAAGCGCATACATTCTCCGAAAGCCGGCTCATTTGTCTTCTCTATAAGGTCCTATACCACCTTCGCGTGCTCGGTAGACTCATTTGTTTCCACGGTGTAATCCGAAACGGTGGCCTGTCAACGCCGCAGTACCTCTTCACTTTCTCATCTTCATCTGCCTCTCTTCTCATGCACAAAAAAAATTAATGCATCGAGAGAGAAGAAAAAAAGTCTCTCTCTCATCTCAACATCTCTATAATTTTCAACAGGATATACTCCCGGGAAAAACCTGGAATTCTCAGGGAATTTTTTTTACCTTGAAAAATCCTAGAATACTCGTGAAATTTATTTTGAACTTAGGGAATTTTTTTAAAAATTGTCTCTTTAATTTTATTTTCAAATATATCTTTCAGGAATATAAAATTTATTAGGTTCATATAAAGTATATTAAAATATATTTTATTATAAAATATAATATTATATTATTAATATATTAAAAAATATGTATTTTGTTTATGTTAAAAAATTAGAACAAAAATAAACTTACTTTAAAATTGTATTTAAAATTTTTTTAAGTACTTTAACTTTACCTGGAATTTTGAACAAAAGTAGCTGGAAAATCATGGAATCCTCAGGAAATTTATTTATAAAATTAGTAGAGTATATATTTTTAGTAAAAATAATAGAGTATAATTTATTTATAAAATTAACAGAGTATAATTTATTTATAAAATTAGTAGAGTACACCTTGTTCAGGTAGCGCGACATCGGAATTCACGAACAAATTCACGAACGATCTAAGAAATCGAATCGAATCGTCAGAAAGAAGGCAGAGATCCCCGTGTAACAGTAGAGAAATTGATTGCGCGCACGAAAGGGATCTCCATAATACAGGGAAAAACGCAGATCGCGCTATTCCTGTACCTTCCCCCGATGACAATCCCGACTCGATACTCCTCTTGCTCCGGGATTAACGTAGCCCTGGATATAATGAATACGGTCGCGCTCGTGTACGTACCGATGTAGAGTAGGTAATCCACACCCCGGACGAGAGGGATCTGTCCTCGGCGAATCCTCTCTCTCTCTTTGGACGTTTTTTTTTATCTTTCTCTCTCTCTCTCTCTCTCTCTTTCCTTTTTCACGGCGCGGCTTTAGGACCAGACTGCCGGATCCGGCGTAATCTGTCACCGGCGTCGCACTTTTCTACGGGCTTATCCCGGCCACCGGCTTTTCCCCAATCCCGCGGCAAATGAAAGGGGACATAGGAGAGAGAAACGAGTGGGAAAAAAAAGATCATCCCGGGGTGCGCGGAGGTTGCTTCGCGTGTAGAATCGCCCGTGGGCTCGAGATGCGATCTTATCCGCGGCTAATATCCGCCGCTCGCGGCCATCGATACCGGTTTTCTCCGACAGGTTTGCTGGGGAGAAAAAAATCGAGAGTAAATTTTACGAGGATATATTATACACAGTGATATGCGAAAGAATAAAAAATTATTTTCTCTCTCTCTTTTTTTTATCTGAAATTGTAGCACTCCCCCGTTTGTTAATATTAATACTTCAATTGTGGAAAATTTATATTTGTCAATCTATATAGTCAATCAAAATATTAGTAGTTAAACTCATAAAATTATGCTTAAAAAATTGAACTCGTTGAACTCATAAATTTATGAGTTCAACTGCTAATATTTTACTATATCTTGAGTAGTTGGACTCATCAATTTATGAGTTCAACTATTAATGTTTTGATCGAGTGACTATTTTGAGGAAAAATGATCTGTATAATCAATCAAAATATTAGTAGTTAAACTCATAAAATTATGCTTCAAAAATTGAACTTGTTGAACTCATAAATTTATGATAATTTATACTAATATTTTGATTGATTATACAGATCATTTTTACTCAAAATAGTCACTCGATCAAAACTGCTAATATTTTACTATATCTTGGGTAATTGGACTCATCAATTTATGAGTTCAATTATTAATGTTTTGATCGAGTGACTCTTTTGAGTAAAAATGATCTGTATAATCAATCAAAATATTAGTAGTTGAACTCATAAATTTATGAGTTTAATTCATTTTAAGGATTTAACTATTAATGAGTTCAAATACTAATATTTTGATTGACTATACAGATCTTTTTCACTTAAAATACTCAATCGATCAAAATATTATAAAATAAGTTCATACCATAAAATAAGTTCAACTACTAAAAATATATTAAAATATTAGAAGTTGAACTCATATGAATTCAACTACTAATATTAAAAACATAATAAAATTTTAATAATTTAATTCATAAGTTTATGAGTGCGACTACTAATATTTTGATTGACTACACAGACTGATAAATTCTTTTCCACAATTAAAGTATTAATATTAACAAACGGGGGAGTGAAAAGGATTTTTCAATCTGTATAACCAATAAAAAATTCATGATCATAACCAACTTCGCGCTGTTATCGATGAAACGGAGCGTTAGGGTCACCTTAACGCAAAAAAAATCATAACACAATCAGAGCTACTTTATTCGCCGGCTCCACTTATCGTATAAAAGATTCCGCCGCTCGCGCGGCTTTTTTAATCCCCCGGGTTGGCGTTGAAACGGAGGCAGGACGAGGCAAAAGGATCCGCAGTCACCGGCGTAATCTGTCACTGGTACCGCTTCTACCGTGGTTTTCTACCGGCTTATCGCAGCATCGGCTCGCATTTAATCCCCGCAAAAATGGGGGATGGCCGCGTTCGTCCTCTCTTCGTCGGGAGGATGAGGAAAGGGGGTCGTAAGCCGCCCGTGTGGCGCCTGCATCCTTGCTTGGCGCACGACAGCTAACGACAGCCAACGACAATGGCGAGCCCGGTTAAGGTAGAGATGCAACCGGACCCCTCTTGTAACTCGGGTGCAACGGGTGATCCATTCGAAACGTAATCTCTCTGATCGAGAGATTTAATAGTTTCATGTAGTAACTATTAGAGATGAATTATAGTCATCGAATAAAAATTTTTGAGAAATTATTATAGTAATGGGAAACATTTTTTGTCACATTTTTTATACAATTTAATTATGAATAATTAAAATTGAAAATTATCAAATTTAAAGACGAGTGAAATATTAAATTGAAATACAAAATAAATTGGTTATCAAATTATTGAGAAATTATAATAATCGAAGAATAATTATGTCACACATTTTTTTATGTTAATCATAAATTGTGAAAATTTAAAATTGCCGTCAACATTTAGAGACGAGTTGATGAATTGTCATTGATTATAAGATCAGTCCCCTTCCTCGGAAAATTTCAATGAAATTTTTGTAAATCTATCAATATAATTTTTTAAATTTTTATCATGGTATACATAAAGAAGCATAATTTTCATAATCGAGATTTAATTTTTTTAAATTAGCAATTTATAGCAATTTTTGAGAAATGATTATAATGAAAAAAATTATTTTGTCACATAATTATGAATTATTTATTAAAATTGTCAAAATTTAAAATCTAGTGAATTATTATTAAGACGAATTCTTCCTTAAAGAATCTCAAAAATCTCTAAATTTTTTAATCTATTCGAAAAATAATCTATCTGATTCTCATGATCGAGAGATTTAATTGTTTAAAATAATAATTAAATAAATTAGTCATCAAAATTTTGATTATTATAATAATAAGAGAAAAATTAATTTGTACATATTTTTCACACATGCTAATTATAAATTATTAAAGTTAAAAATCAAAAATTGTCGGCAAATAAACTATTATTAAAT